CTGAGTTTTTTTAAAAAAATTTAGAATCTCAACTTATATTTAAAAACTAAAATTTTAATACAAAAATTAAAAATTTTCTCTATTAAATGTTGGTATTTAGATTTTAAAATTAATTATATATTAGAATAAAATTATTTTTTAAATTTAAATATTAATACTTAATAAGATAAAACTTTAAATTTAAAATTAAATTTTAATTAGATAAAATGAGGTATTTGGGTATTAAGCCCAGTGATCTAATTTGAATTTGGGTATTTATGGACAATAAAATCTGAACTTGGGCGGGCTTTCACCAGCTGCTAAAGGCTTAATGTTCGCTGTTTGGAATCCGCATAAACTCATCCTCTGGCAATCAGATAGGAATGTAATGAAAGACAAAGCATCTATCTCAGAAAAAAAATCTAGGTCAGACACAGAACAGAACGTGATGAGTGAAACGTTATGTTTTAACGGATTAGTGACGTCAGGTTACATACAGGGGCTGATTTGCCACCTATGACGAGTTAAGGGGTTCTTTTGAGCGTGAACTGACTTAAGGGGGTGATCTGCCATCACATAATGAGTTGAGGGGCTACTCTGCGTGTTTTGCCGATTTTTGTTGGGGTGCTAATCGGTTGTGGGCAGGAGGGAGTTGACAGATCTGGGACGAGTCAAGCGGCCACCAGCGAGGAAAGAAAGAGTGGGTGGGGGAGAAAGTGGAACAGTTGAAGGAGGGGAACAATCGGCCGATTATGGGGATTTGTTCATGGATCGAATAGGAGAGGAACGAAGAGGAACAGATGACAGGTGGAATGACGGAAAGGAAGATCTGGTGTCCAATCGGGCCGGTTTCGATGAGACCGTCCAGTTATGTGCGCAAAGGAAAGAATTGAGGGAGGTAGGAGGTGTACGTGGTTGAGCAGCGGGGGAGTCCTTTGCCCCCAGTCCGCTGATATCAAGTCTGCAGCCTTGTGCTTCGTTGTTGCCACCACCGTTGCGTTTTAGCTCCGAGAATATCTTTTTCTTTCAGATCTCCTTTGTTTATTTTTTCATTAGATTCATGTCTTTATGTCTCCTTTTTGTAAATCATTTTGGTAGATTAATTTTTAGCCAGTCTGATTCGGATCTGACCTTTAATTTAGTGTACTTGATGTTAGAGTCCTAAAAGGGAGGAGTTAAGGGAGTCAGGGGGTTACAGGGAGAGGAAATGAAGTCTCCCTTGATTTTGAGTCAGGTGCCTACCTATTTAAAAGCAGATACCTTCTTTTTGGCATTTTCCAGATGTTGAAGTTTTAACACAAAACTTTCTGGCACGACTCTGTTTCTTTTTCTGAATTTAGCCCTTTTAATTTCTTTATTAATTTTTTTTTTCCTCAGATTCTTTGGTTGGTTCTAATGTTATTTTGCAAACCTCATCTTTAGCTTGACTGTATATTTTGATGGTACGTTATTCTTCTCTATGTTGTTCACTTTGGTTATCATGTTTACCTGAACAGAGGAATGGGTTGCTATACTTGGGTTCTATTTTAGTGCTAAAAGTTTAGTTTTCTCGATACTTGGCTTCTATTTTAGTGCTAAAGTTTTCTCAAAAGTGATTTTTATTTCTTTATTTTGTTTTATTTATTTATTTATTTATTTAAACCTTGATCAAGACTGAGCCTTTCGTGTTGAAATGTCTCCTTATGGATCAATTGAGGATCTGAAAAGGGTTCTTTTCATTGCTCTGTTAATAATTAGTGGTTGAGATTACATTCTTTTCTTTGCTCTGTTGGGTGATTATTTTTTCTCTGTCGTAGACATCATATGGATTGATGCTACTGTCATCCTATAGTGACAGAATTCCTTGAAATGGAGTTTGAGGTGAAGATTTCATACTTTGATGCTTCTAAAGCTATGATTTAAAGTTAATAGTCTTGAAGATGTGTCCTGATGTTTGATGCTCATTCAAATTTAATCAACTCTGGTTGCTTATATTATTGTGAAAGTTGTTGCTGAACCTGAATTAATAATATAAATTATTTGTTTTAATTACTTGAGATCCGTAGATATAGATCTATCAAGTCCTATCAACTCTAATTTTATTTTTGTTTTGAGCTTTTAATTATATCAAAAAAAGGTATTGTGCAATACCAGATTATATAATTATAATTATTAGATGAAATTGATCTCTCCGATATTGATTGAATAATTAAAGATTAAAAATTTAAGGTAAAACGTTAAAAAATAAACGCATTAGTGTGGGCGTGGGCGTGGAGTTAGTCCACCCGTCGCTCTCAACCTTTTGCAATTTCGAACCTGTAATATCCATCTTTTGGGAGTTGGTCAAAGACGGCGTTGAGGTTGTTATTGATAAGAAGTTAAGAACCATAAATTGAAGAAGAAGAATGACAGAAATTAAAGAAAAAGGAAAACAAGGAAGAAGAACACGGAGACCAGAAAAGTTACGTGGAACTTGCGACGTCAGATTATCATCCACAAAGATTACAACACAATTTTTTTTAAATAAATACACGATCAACAAGTTAAGTAATTACTATAAATTATAATTAATTGACATAAATTACTAAATTATACAATTAATCAACACCCATCTCCAGATCCCATGCCAATTCAGCAGTACACATTCACTGATCATAAGTAGTGTCGTTTGCGTTATGAATATTTGAAAATTAACCTAAATTTTATATCCATACTTTAGTAATTCTCTTGTGTTATGATATTATTAATCAATACTTACCCATCATGTGTTTCATAACTGTTTGAAAATAATATGGGTTCATAAATGCAGATCAGTGTTCAAATTTTTTTTTTTTACTTTTTTTTAAAAAAAATTTTCCTCTTTAGTCATTTTAATGATGTTGGTTTTTATCAACTTTTTCTTTTTTTCTCTTCTTGGTTGACAGAGGGTGATAAATGATTATCATGTTCTTCTTTTCCTGAATTTTTTCATATTTTTATTTTCATGCCCTAAATTTGTGTTTGTGGTCTAAATCTCCCTCTTGCTTTTGAGTTTTGCATGGTGGTAGAGAGGTTTTTGTACTTCTTTCCTTTTTCTATCTCAATGAGTTATCCATTAACATTTTCCTTTCAATTTCGTGGGTAATCAATTTCCTTCCTTTTGATTATTAGGTTGAAACAGTGACAAATTTAGTGTCACCCATGTGTGCCAACTAAGGTTTTCTCTTTTATTTTTATTCTTACTTTCTATTTGTTCTCTATGTGGTTTGACTGTTATAAACTCTGTTGATCCATGCTACTATATAATGGAAATTTTTAAACTTAAATGGGATTAATTAGATTTTGTCTGGGATCCATTCTCTAGATCTCTTAGCTAGCATAAGTAGTAAATAAATATCACATTTCAGATTTTTCACATCAATAGTCATAGTGTCAATATGAGGTTTTGTGAAGAATGCGTGTGAATTTTTTGAAGGGGTTTGACTCAAGGAAGCCATGAGGTGGTTTTTTAAGCTATTTCTAATGCTTTATCCCTTTTTTTTTAGTCGGTCTTAGATGTTTATAGGTTCATTAATTCATATTGTCATTTAATAGCTAAAGATTTATGTATATAAAAAAAAAAAAAGAAAAAAAAAAAAGCAATGGCTGATGAGATATCTATGCGTCTGTACCAGAAGAGGGGAAACATAGCATACAAACTCCCCTTTCACAGTTAAAGGGAGAGAAACTTGCAAAATCAAAATAGTTAAAAGGGAGGAAGGGCCGCCTCTCACAGTTGCTATACTAACTCCCCTTTTCACTGTTTTGCCCTACAATGTTTCTCTCTCATTTTCATATGTAAGTAATGGCTTTTTGATCATTTTGTTGCCAAAATACTTTGTCCGTCGTTCACAGAGAGGTTGTTTTCTCTGTTTTGCCCTCTATGCTAAGCTTCTCCCTATCTCTCTTGGAACATGGCTTTTGGGTCTTTTTGCTTCTGTGTTTTTGGCAGTGGTTTGGCTAATCAATATCAATTTCGTCCTCCATGTTTGATTCAGTCTTTTAAAACTGTCTTCGATGTCGTTCATCATGAAAGAAGAAAATCGTGTTCCTACATGGGTTGGATTTTGAAATTTAAGCAACTAAATGGCAATCCTCCCTGTTGCTTTGCATCTAGCCGTCATTGTGAAAGCTCCTGGAGTAAGGTTATCAAAATGGTAAAATTATTTTGGTAAGGTAAAATCAGAATCATAAGAATGAATTGATAAAATTGAGAATTTATTAAATTAATTAAAAATATTAAATAATACTAAAATTTAATATTTAATATTTAAATTTAAAATTTATCTAAAAATATTAATTACTAATTAATTATTTCAAGTTTTTATTGAATATTTTGTTTCTTTTATAATCATTAAACAGTTTCAAATTTTAATAATTTTAACAAAGAAAATATATTTCATAAAAAATTATTAGTGTACTATCAAAAATAATGAAATCTTAAACTTTTTTCCTTTACAACCAAAATAAACCAAATTACTTGCGACTCCACCTGCACTGCAAAGGATTAATTGCCAAGCTTTTATTCAATTTATGACTTTACCACAATTTTACTAAAATTTTGATTTTTAATCTAATTGACTCAATTAAAATACCTACAATCATAAAATCTTATGATTTTACAAGTAAGAGTATGATTTTGACAACCATACGAGTGTTGCTTTTCTTTGGTCGTCATTGCTTAGCTCATTTCTGCGCTTGGAGTGGATCCTAGTGTCTGTACATATCAAATTGATACAATACATTCATCTACCTCCTAGCTGAGTGCCTCCTCTTATTTTAATTCCCTATGGGGTCCAATGCTCTTGAAGCTGCACTAGAGACCTTCCATTCACTGTCATAGCTGACGGCCCAAAAGAAGTACCCACGAAGCCCATGCCCAAGAGCACATTTCATGTTGATCGGACATCATCATACCCGATCCAGGATGTCCCCACAAAGGAATATGCTGATACGTACACCGTGTCATAAGCCACCGTGGCGTTGGTCCTCCGGTTAAAATGCTCCACCTGTGCAAACGTCAGCACCCCATCATCCCCTGGGCCCACGCCGACGGTATCGGACCCGATCTTTTGCTGATTTGGGTCTTTGAGTTTCCAAGTCCTTCCATACAATGGCAGGCCCATAACCACCTTCTCACGATAGATCCCGGCCTCGACCCATGAAGTTAGCCCGTAACTCGTGCTTATGTTACTATTTGGGTCACAAAGGGCCTCATGGGCCCCGTTTTTTGAAGTACATTGCGTTGATCCAATCCAGATTTCGGTTAATGGACTGGACCGGGTACGAACGCTTGACGTCGGATATGAAGAAGTCGACGGAGAAATACACCGCCGCCGTGATCAGAAGAGGAGCGCGGTGGGTAGCCTTAGCCTCTGCCTTGATTGCTTCCTGCCATTCGTTGAATAGTATGCTCAAGTTTAGCATTTGCTTCGGGTTCTCCGGAAATTCCCAATCGAGATCCATCCCGACAAAACCGAGATTCCGCGCCACCTCCAAGGCCTTGGGATTTAATAAATTAAATATAATTTCTTTTGTGTGGACTTTGGCTTGTGGATTTGATGGTGCTAGTAAGAACAGGTTATGAAATTCATTTGGTTATGATTTGCTGTTTCTTTTATCTGTGTTTCTGATTATGCTGTCAGCAGTGGGGATAGTTCTAGATGGAAATTTTCGTTCTGTGGCTTAAGGTGATTTCTCTTTCAATTTCACATGGGTTTCTCTTTGTATGTGTTGTTGCCTTCTCTAGAATTACTATTTGTTCTTGGCTTTGTATCTTTTTTTGTTTTGTTTTGGCTTTTTTGGTTTTTGATTCTTTTTTTCTTACGCTTTATTGTTGCAGGTTGTTTGGTAACCATTTAATACTCTTATATCTTCTATTTTCTGCTGCAATGGAAATGCAATTAATATTTTGTAACATTTGGTTCTTTGTGTAGATTTTGTTTTGTTTAGTTTATATTTTTACCTTTGCTGGAGTGTTCTTGCCTACATCTTTTGTTTTGTTTCTCAGTTTAAGATCAAGAAGCTTTAGGTGTGAGATTTTATATTTATTCTTTTTGAAAACCATATGATCTTTGTTGTTTGCTAGGGCTTTTTGTGTTTTGTTGAGCTATGTTAGATCTGAATAGCTTCTTTATTCATCTTAAATAGGTTGTGTGTTGCCTTCAGTGATGCTTGCTTTGGTTGTGATCTTAAGAGGGAGAGAATATGGAATGAAATGGGTTGTTTGTAATGCTTTTGGATCGTGTAATGTAGAAAGATTTTAATGAGAAGTGTTTTGAGCACCATACTTTGAAGGGAGGCAGGAGAAAGGTTGTCACTTTTACCTTTCTTTTCTTTTATTATTCTCTTTTCCATCCCTTTTGTCTGTGAAAGTTGTAGATGGTTTTATTTCAAAGTTACATGATACTTAATTGCATGAGAACATTTGTTCTAAAGATTGATACGCTTTAACTGCAAATTAGAAGAAGACTGGAAGTGCTTGGTGCCTGCATTGTGCACTACAAGCATGACCATTTAAAAATTTTTCAGGATTTTATATGCCTGAATATTACAGAATCTAATTTGATTTTTGCATGTAATCAAATGAATTATAAAGTGCAATTGGAGATGATGTTGCTACTATAGAAGCTCCTTCAGGTGGTGGCATGGAAGGACTCTTCTCCCTTTCCTACCTTTTATGATGGTTAAGACAAATATGTATGCATCTGACAATTGCCTTAGACATGCTTGAAATTTTCTCTGTACGAGTTTGAGAACAAATTTCATGATATTCCTGGTTTTTCTTTGTTTGTTACCTTTTTACATTTCATCTTGGGTAGTTTGTCATGAATTTTCTTCACATGTAGTACTTGAATTGGTGGGTTAATGTGCTTTCATCTTAAGTTTTCTACCATCCATATATTTCTTTCAACCCTCATATTCAAAATTGCTTGTGAAATTTAAGGTTGACTCCTTTTACTTGCTTCATGGAGTACCTTCTTGAGCATGGCACTAATCTGGCTACAGCAAGTGAGCTAGGTGCCACAACCTTGCTTTGATCTGCTGGAATATAGGTGCACACTCTTCCTCTTCCTCATCCTCCCTGGTATATCTGATATCTTGATTCTAGCTCTACATACAGGGAAATAGTTTGTGTGTTTGTTAGCGGCCAGTACTCTTTGTTTTGTGTTCTAAATGCAAATTCCCCATCTCAAACTCAAATGCTTGGAGATTTGTATACATAATTGCTTTAGGTGTATCCCCCAGAGATACCAAAAGCAGTAACTCTGTGCAGATCTGAACTGGAGCTGCTTCCATGATGTATCCCTCTTCTGTGGCAGTTGGTTAAACATAAAATAAGATATTAAAATAAAAAAGATATTATTTTGTATTGGCCTGAATAGTTGTTACAGCCATATGAGAATTTCACATAGTTTTGTTATTTTTACAATCTACTTTATTGTTTTCTATTCTTTTAGCATCTCCTTCTAGCAAGCTCTTTATATGCTGTTTTCAATCATACTATTTCCAATATAGTTGAAAGGGTTAATTATGGAAATAAATGTAAGTTTTTCTTGCTTACACTTTGTTTTCTTGCAGAAATGATTATGAAATGTTATTAGCACTAGATGAGAACAATCATCAACATGGTGGTGCATCTGTTCACCAGATAGATAGTTTACCGCAATAAGTAGTGCAGGTACATGTCTGGATAGAGAGAGCAAAACAATCTAAATGTACTTCTATTTAAGTTTCCTCCTTGAGAATAAATACGTGAGTTGGGCGTGTTGATTTATTTGCTTATTATTTCTATTTTCTAATTTTCTTTGTTATGCAGACTGATGATTTTGAAGAAGCTTGTGCTATTTGTCTTGAGAATAAATTGTAGAAACAAATTTTAACGGTTACCATCAAGTTAATTAGTCCCTTTTTTTTTTCTTGGTTTGTATTGGAAGTCAAAATAGTGATAAAAAAAAAAAACAAAAATGTGAAAATGGAAAGAAATACCAACCTCAACCAGAGATTTTTAGAATAGAATCAATATTTAAAGTCAAAAGAAAATAATAAAGTTATGTACAAAAAAAAGTGGTTACCTTCTTTAAAGCAGACGGAGTATTGTTGAGTTTTTTATATATTATCATAGATCTTTAATTTAATTTTCACATATTTTGAAACTAATTTATTTATAAATAATTTATTTTTTAAGTATTGATCTTAAAATTTAAATGATGAACTTAATTTATAAAATAATATTTATTTATTAATAAATTTAAGTGAATTGGAAGTATTATTATTTTTTGATTATTGTTAGAAGTAACTAAACAAATTTTAAAAATTGGCGATTTGAGAAGCTTCTGATGTAAGAATGATAAGTAACAATATGTGTGGAGGCATGATGTGTTACACTAAGGAATATTAATAAAAGATTAATGTGTCCGCGTCGGCCCCTTCCCTATCCACTGGTGTGACCCCAAAGGGCACCAGATAGAGAAATGTGGAACCACCACTGGATCCACATCATCTCCAACATTATAACAATCTTTCTATTTCACGAGAGAGAGAAAGAAAACAAAACGCGGTGCACGAAGAAGAAGGGGAAGCCATGGTTGCTAGAACATCAAATACCTGTTGCTTTCATTCTTATTGCTTTTATCACATCATTCAAGTTAATAGAACGCCTATTTTTATTCTAATATTCAGGACATGTTTTTCTAAGCTTTTTGACGGTTGGGCTTCGCAAGGTAGCGTAATAATCCCTCCCCCACTTTAGCATTTACCAAAAATGCAAAACTAATTGCCTTGCTCCTCTTGCTGTCTCCTTTCAAAATTGTAATCTATTTGGGTGTAGGAAAAAGGTCAAGCTTCAAACATAAGCGTGAAACATTAGGAAAAAGGTCCAGACGTCTAGGATACGCCTATCCTAGACAATATGGTTTTCCACGTGTATGGCTACAGAAAAGGCTAGGATGGTATCGGACAGCCCACGTAATGGGAAGAAAAATGAATTCAACAAAATGGAATAAAAAAAGTAATAATTTGGAGAGGGAAGGTAGGTGGCGGAAGTGGTACTACGATATTGATGAGATTGATCTCATTATGCTGACCTCAGATGATGAGTATTAATAGAAGGAAGTTCGTAAATAATATTTTATTTCAGTTTATATGTCGTCTATAGTATTTTATGTCCATATAAAAGATGGAAATATAAGACATAAGATTTTTTTTCTCTTATTAAAACATATTATTAAAACAAAAACATTAATCATAAAGAGATTTTTACGTAATATTAGAGCTTGAGAGATTGAAAGATGCTAAAACAAATACAAATATTTGCGAAGATTTGAAATAATGACAGTCTTAAGATGCTGAATAGACAGTTTACTACAAAATGGCCACACTTAGTGCATTCACCGCATTGTTATTCTTTTTTTTTTTTTTCTTTTTGGTACATGCATTGTTATTCTTTTATGATTCCTTTGCTCTTTCTTCTGCTGATCCATCTATTTTTCCTTTTTGTTGCATAGCTGTAATACAACAATCGAACTAAGCTGAGAAAAAATGTGACAAAAATCTTTATTTATTATTTTATTATTTTGTAAAATAAAAAAATATTTTATAAGATAAATTATGCTTTTAAAATATAATTCATTTTATAAATTTATTTAAATATTTTTCATGAAATTATTTAAATTACATTTTTAATAAATAATCTATCTTGAAAAACTTGAATCTTGTTTTAAAAAACAATTAATTCTATTGTTTTAATATTATATATTAGAATAATGTAAAATCATATGCTTCTTAATTTTTAAATAACCTTCTTACATTTTTTTGCGAATATAGTCTTGCTAATGTATCTATATTATTTATATGAAATTGTAAAAAATTAAGACAATTTAATAATTAAAATATTAAAATTTATTATAAAATTATTTAAATATTTTTAATAATAAATTGATATATAAAAAATATAATAATTTTATAAAGAGTTTAAATATTAGGACATTTTAATTTTTTATTTATATTATTGTATCATTATAATAATTATTTTTTTCTATGAACATAGTAATTATTTTATTACTTCTGTTTTTATCAAACATATGCAATGGAAAATCAAAATTAATAAATGCGTAAATCTAATGCACAAAAAAATAAAAACGGAGTGTCAGGCTTATTGGTTTTATGGATGGCCAAAGAAAGAAAGGAATTTGATTCATCTTTCAACTTGCAAGTACGGATGCTTGGACAAATATTATAAAAAAACCCAATTAAGTTCTCGTCAGCCTACTCAACCTCGTAGCATCTTCTTCACTACAGTACAGCTTTTCAATGGAAAATTTGACTGTAGTTCTCCGAACAAGAGCTGTTAGGCGTTATGCGATTGCCTCAGGCAGGGTCAGTGCCTCCAATCGGCACTTTGTTGAAAGAATGCCCAGGATTCAACCAGGTCAGAATTCAAGACCATTTCTGGCTAGGGATATGTACGGGCACCGCATTTATCACCTTAAGTATAAGAGGAGGATGGTGGAGCGCCGACCAAAACAAACAATTACTGGCCTGGGACACTTCTTTCAAGAGCATGGTTTGCAACCTGGGGATCGAATTATCTTGTACAAAGAGGAGGGCAATGAGGTGATCTTGATGGGAAAACTCATCTCTCCACTCTATGTTATCCACTTTGAGAAGGTTAACGAAGTTGCGGACCGCTGAGGATCATGCTCTTTGAGAAAGCTGAATCACAGCCTGTTAAAATATCTGGGGGTTGTAGTTGATTTGTTTTTGTTGGTTTGTTTTTTCATGTCTTGTACAGATCCGAGCCTTTTATATATATATAGAAAACCTAAATCTATTTGCCTTTTTGCTTGTACTTATAAGTAATGATAAATGTTGAGTACTCTTTTTTAGATAATACTTTATGGGTCTAAGTCAGAGGTGACTTATCAACTCTTTTCTACTCTTCTTTTATGGGTCTAAGTCAGAGGTGATATTCTTGATAGATTTTTGTTGGGGTCTCATTGGTTTTGGGGAGCAGGGAGTTGACAGATCTGGGACAAGTCAAGCGGCCACCAGCGAGGGACGAAGGGGAACAGACGACAGATGGAACGGCGGAAAGGAAGATCCGGTGTTCAATCGGGCGGTGGTGATGAGACCGTCCGGTCTTGTGCAAAGGAAAGAATCGAGGGAGGTGGGAGGTGTGGTTGAGCAGCGGGGGAGTCCTTTGCCCGCCCTCAAAAACTTACCGGCACGATTCTGTTTCTTTTTTCTGAATTTCGCCATTTAATTTCTATTTTTTTACTCAGATTTTGTGGTTGGTTCTAAACTTCTAATGTTATTTTGCAAACCTGATATTTAGCTTGACTGTATATTCTGATGGTGCTTTATTCTTCTCTATGTTGTTCATTTTGGTTATCGTGTTTACTTGAACAAAGGAATGGGTTGCTATATTTGGGTTCTATTTTAGTACTAGAAGGTCAGTTTTCTCAGAAGTGATTTTTATTTCTTTATTTTATTTTCTTTTTGTTTTTTAATATCTTGGTGAAGACTGAGCCTTTCGTGTTGAAATGTCTTCTTATCATCTTAGGGATCAATTGAGGATCTGGATAGGGTTCTTTTCGTTGTCTGTTGATAATTAGTGGGTGAGATTAGATTTCAATTTTTCTTTTTCTTTTTCTTTCTTCTTCCTTCTTTCTTTTTTTTTTTTTGTCCTAGAGAACATATGGATTGATGCTACTGTCTTCCTATGGTGACAGAGTTCCTTGAAATGGAGTTTGAGGTGAAGATTTCATACTTTGATGCCTCTAAAGCTATAATTTAAAGTTAATAGTCTTGTGTCTTGATGCTTACTCAAATTTAATCAACTTTGGTTGATTATATTATTGTGGAATTGGTTGCTGAACCTGAATTAATAATATCAGTACGTGGTCTGTTTTAATTGCTTGAGGTTCGTGGACATAGATTTGTCAAGTTCTGCCAACTGTAGTTCTACTTTTGTTTTGAGCATTTAATTCTGTTTGTATTTAGTAAATATAGAAATCCGATCTTCATGTCTTTTTTACTCTTCTAAATATAGAATTCCTAAATCTATTGCCCTGTTCTGCAAGCAACCTAGAAACTGGGTTCGTGGAACCCAGCAAAGGGATTCTGCGAGACCTAGGATGATGAAGAGGATGATGAGCAGGATGCTAATGACATGATGATGCCGAGGATGAGGATGAGGACTAGGATAAGGATAAGGAGAAAGAAGAAGATGAAGAAATTAAAATTAATCCTATTTAAATTCATTTAATTCATGAATTAAAATGTAAAATTTTTAATTGAGGAGTGCTAGGGGCACTCGCCTCCTGCACTTTTCGGCCAACACTTTCATTTTTACTGGGCCATGTTATTCTGGTTTGGAAGAGGTTGAATTACAAAGTCGGAAACAAGCTTACATGGCTCAATAATTTCCACGTCATTCTTATTTGTACAGGTGGCATCCACATAATTTCCACCTCATTTATAATATTATTTGTATAAAAAATAATCAAATGATTCCATTAGTTAACCTGCCACATCAGTAAAAATTTAACGGAGGGACTAAAAAGGGGTCGGATTTCAAACAATAAGGAACAAAAAAAGGATTTTTTCAGTATAGGGACTAAAAAGAGGCTTTTTACTATAATAGAGGGACCAAAAAGAGTATTTAACCGTTCTATTTAAATGTTTATTTCTAATTTTATTTACTCAATTGTGGGAGCATAGGTGGGGTTATCACTTTTGTTCAAGTTATTTTCAAGGTTTGATTAGGAGATAAGTTAGAAGGGAAGTATGGGGTTATTCCACCCGTCGCTTTCTACCAAGGTTTTTAAAATCGGACCAGATTGGCTGGTTGAATAGGTCGGATCGGTACCCGATAATGAAAATGGTTCGGTTTATATAAAAAAACCGTTTGAAGTCAAAATCGATCAAAACCAATCAAAATCGATGGAACCGATAGAACCAGTAGAACCGAAAAAACCACCCCCTCACCAATTTTTTTCAATTTCACCCTCACCATTCCTTTCTTATATCGATTTTAACCCTTAATTTTAATAAAATTACAAAATTACCTGCCCCCTCATCAAATTCTCCCTTGTTGTTTGGACCGGCCGATTTACTGGTTCAACCGGTTGAACCAGTCAAACCAAAAACCAGACCTAAAATGGTTCAATAATCGGTTCGGTTTTAAAAACCTTGCTTTCGGTTGAACTAATCAAACCAAAAACCAGACCTAAAATGGTTCAATAACCGGTTTGGTTTTAAAAACCTTGCTTTCTACTTCTTACAATTTCGAACCCGTTCCATCCATCCCCCGGGGACTCTGCCAAACTTAGCGTTGAGTCTGTCAGCCTTGGCGCACTCCCAAGTGGACTCAGCATCTCCTTCTCTCCATTTCTAGTTACCAAACAGCAAAAAGATCTTAGTTTTATGTACAATCAGAGAGAATCTATACCATTACTAACCCATCTGGTTTCTTCTTCCATTTCAATTGTCTTTCTTTTTCCATGTGTTCCTGTTTCTGAGGCCCCACGCCACCACCCCCAACGACAGTTCCTCAATCTTCCCTCGTTAAATAAAGGTTAAACATGAGTTTTAGTTCATTAACTTTAAAGTTTTACATAATTTTTATTTTTTAATTTTTTTAATTTTTTAATTATAAATTTTTTTTTATTTTTTTCATCATTTAATCGGTTAAGTTTGTTTAAATATATATATTTTTATAAAAATTTATGCATATATTAAAAATTAATGTTTAAATTCTTATAAATTTAATAGATTAATTGATGAAATAGCTAAAAAAAATATATTTTTCATAATTTAAAGACTAAAAGGATGAATCAAAAAATATAAGATAAAAATTATACAAAATTTTAATTTTAAGTGATCAAAATTAATATTTAACCTTAAATAAACCATACCCACTTCACGTTTCCAAATTATTAATGTAAAAGTGTTGTTCCTCTGGAATAAACAAAGTTTTAATCTTTGTCTGTGTTCGTGGGTGTATATTCGTGTGTTTTCGTAATTTTCTATTGGGTATATGTATATATATATATATGCTTGACGGTGATGCTGACGCCGGTGACAATGGCCAAGCAAAGTTTGACTCTGGAAAGTGCTGTTGAAGATCAAGTCAAATAAGGCTGTTAGTGGAGTCCTAATAAAGTGAAGCTGCTGGAGCATACCAGATTTTTTATCTGATATGAAGCCACGTTTTTAGTAGAGAGTTATAATAAATTTCTGTTATTTTGTTGTCTATAAATAAGAAGAATGACCAGTTGCACTGTGTGTGAAATTCTCATCTTTTCATCATATTTTCTTGTTATAGTTGTTCTGCTTTCAATATTCAGCAATAAAAGTCATTTTAGTTTCCAGTCACTGTACTTCTCATTTTTCAATTTGCTGTCATTTAGTTCCTCTCTTGCTATATGCATAAACACCATTTTACACTTGATCTACTTTTAATTTATCATTGGGTATCAGAGCTGTGGTTGTAGAAGGCTCTGTTTGTGCTGATCATTATGGCAGGAAAAGGTGGTGGTGCAAAATTTGAGATTCCATGTTTTGATGGATCAAATTTTGCACTATGGAAATTGAAGATGCATGCAGTGCTCATGAAGGATGGTTGTGCAGTTGCTCTCTTGCCAAGAGAAGAGAAACCCGAAGGAATGACGGATAAGCAATTCTCTGAGAAGGACGAGATGGCCTTGGCAAATTTGCAGCTGGCGCTGGACGACAATGTTCTGTTCAATGTAGAGACAGAGTCAACTGCAAAAGGGCTTTGGGAAAAGCTTAAGAATATTTACGAAGGCAAGTCGCTGGCAAACAAGATTTTTCTAAGGCGGCAGCTTTGCAACTTGAAGATGAAAGATGGACAGTCAATACAAGAGCACCTCAATGAATTCAATTCCCTTACTAGTAAGCTTCTGTCTCTTGATGTTAAAATTGATGATGAAGAGAAAGGAAGTATCTTACTATGTTCTATGCCTGACTCTTGGGATAACCTGATTATGAGTTTGAGCCATG